GAAATATGGGAGCAAAGCAAAGCAAGTTTCAAAGAGAAGCAAATGGACATACACACAAGACTTATGCAGAGGTACAATCAAGTGCCCGAATGGTGGTTTGTGGCCATACTTTTGGTCAACATTGCAGTTACTATTTTTACCTGCCAATACTACAATGACCAGCTCCAGTTGCCTTGGTGGGGTGTTTTACTAGCTTGTGCTATTGCCATTTTCTTCACCCTCCCAATTGGGATCATCACAGCCATCACAAATCAGGTACCCATTTTCTGGTACAAGCCCTAACAGTCAATCTTGTTGGACATTTTAGTCTTTTAACCAATCTGTGGCTTCATTAATCAGTTCATCTTTCTAATGACAGACACCAGGCTTGAACATCATCACTGAGTATATAATTGGGTACATCTACCCAGGATATCCAGTTGCCAATATGTGCTTCAAGGTGTATGGCTACATAAGTATGACACAAGCCATCACATTTTTGCAAGACTTCAAGCTTGGTCACTACATGAAAATCCCTCCTAGAACCATGTTCATGGCTCAGGTAACTTCCTATTTTTTTGAGTGTCGCTATTCGCCGCATTCACAAATCACATAATGTGGTCAATGAATATCGTACAAATAGTATAATTGTATTTCTCTTCTTAATAATTTCCTTCCAACCCCAATATCCTTAACAATTAAAATTCACCTCTCAGGTTGTGGGTACCCTGATTGCTGGAATTGTCTACTTGGGCACTGCTTGGTGGCTGATGGAAACCATCCCAGACATATGCGAGGACAAATCATCTGTGTGGACTTGCCCAAGTGACACAGTATTCTATGATGCCTCAGTCATATGGGGCTTGATTGGCCCTAGAAGAATATTTGGTAACTTGGGCACATATGAGGCAGTCAATTGGTTCTTCTTGGGTGGGGCAGTTGCCCCCCTTGTTGTATGGGCAGCTGCTAAGGCCTTCCCAAAACAAGAGTGGATCAGGCTCATCAACATGCCCGTCCTAATTGGTTCCACAGGGAATATGCCACCTGCAACTGCAGTCAACTACACTTCTTGGATCATTTTGGGTTTTCTGTCTGGTTTTGTTGTGTATAGGTACAGGCCAGATTGGTGGAGGAGGCACAATTATGTGCTCTCTGGGGCACTTGATGCTGGCCTTGCCTTCATGGGGGTGCTTCTGTATTTTAGCTTGGGGTTGGAGGACATTAGCCTTAGCTGGTGGGGAAATGACCTTGATGGGTGCCCCTTGGCTACTTGCCCTACGGCTAAAGGGGTGATTGTTGAAGGCTGCCCTGTTTACACTTGAAGAAATTGTATATAGTTTTATTTTTTTTCATTCTTAAAGAATTGCACTAGTTGGATAGAAAATAGGATGATTTCTTTCCAATCAACTGTTGTTTTCTTGGTTTGTAATGGGGAAAGCAACGGATTTCATTTGTAATTTGTGCATGGGCAGTATTCATGCTTGAATTTGGTCCAACAAAATGTTAGAGAAGTTTCACAAAAACAAAAAAAAATGTTGGAGAATCCTACGAGATTGAAAGATGCTACAGAAATCATACTGGTGTGATATAGTAAGTTATCTTTTGGTATTTATAATTATCTTCGTGTGTATATGTGACTTCTTCAATGATCGTTTATCTCTAATTTTAATGTTTGTACCATCAAACAAATTGTGCATGTTAAACAAAATTTACTATATATAAATCATCTTATTTGATGGTTAGCCAAAAAATGAATGTGTCTCCTAATTAGAGGTTTGCAAGTAGCACGATCAACCAAAGAGATGCTATTGATTTTCTAAAAAATTTATGTACCTTCGTACATCAAGTAGGGATGAAATGACTTCAGAATAAGTAAATAAAAAACTAATTGGTGAAATGACTTATAACCAACGTGGCAAAAGAAATCTATTCTCTAAATATTTTTTTGATACATATCTATTTTTTTTTTTTAAAATATTATGGTATTAAACTATAACAACTATAACATTTAAACAAAATCCAAACTTAATCAACCATATCAACCATTTACTATATATAAATCATCTTATTTGATGGTTAGCCAAAATTTACTATATATAAATATTTTTTTGATACATATCTTTTAAAAAAAAAATAAAATATTATGGTATTAAACTATAACAACTATAACATTTAAACAAAATCCAAACTTAATCAACCATATCAACCAACTCAGTTCCAAAAAAAATGGCTCAGTTCCTGAATGGCTTTCTTGAGGATAACTTGCAAAGCACAAGTTCCGACTGAAACAATGAAAGAACCACCTCTTCAGATATTACAGTGATTTTGCTGTGTCTGCCAACCTTATGTTGCATTTTGTTTTTGTCCTGTTTATGTTCTATAGAAAGAAAGTGAAAATAATTGACAACGAGCAAACGTTTCTTTTCAACCAAAGTCCCAAATTAAAAATTAAAAGCCCTACCCAAATTCTCTCTCCCGATTTCTTCCCCCTTCCTCCCAATTTCTTCCACCTCTGAAAAATCATCTTCATCTGGTGTAAACTCCTCATCGTCATCATCATCTTCATCATCGTAATTGTTCCCACCATTGATCTCTCTCTCAAGGTCCTCTCGGCCTTCAATGGCCGACCTTTCACTCCCACACCTTCTCTCCCGGACCCTAAACCCAACCCCAACAAACCAATCGAACCAATCGAACCCACTCGCCCTTTAACCCCAGAATCCCAACGCAGTCGCCTCCCTTCCCCTGAACCCAAACCCACAAACCCAATTACCGAAAGTCCGAAGCTTTCTCCAAATCGGGCGAATCCGGAGCCGACCGACCAACCCGAACCCGAGAACTTCAGCCTCATGGATGAGATGGGAAACCCATTGTCTGTGGTTCGGGCTATGGTTGCGGTTTGCTTGCTTGAAAGGGTGCCCTTTTCGCGGGTTGACTCGTCGGCGATTTTGAGAAAACTTGAGGGCGACCAGAATGCGACTTCGGAGGAGAAGGCGGCGCTGCGAGAGCTCGGAGGAGAGTCCGGGGCGATATTGGCGGTGGAGATGGCGTTGAGGTCAATGGCGGAAGAGAACGGTGGCGTTGAGTTGGAGGAGTTTGTAGTGAGTGGCAAGTCGAGAGTTATGGTTTTGGGGATTGACCGGACTCGGCTGATGAAGGAATTGCCTGAAAGCAAGCAGTTTCAGAGTCAAGATTCGAATTTGGTAGATGGGAATGGGAATTTGAATCAGAATCAGAGTCAGCAGCAAGTGGTGAGTAATGGGGTTGATGGTAATGGTGGTGGAGTGTTTGGAATGGGAGGGCCTGGTTCAAGGCCAATGCAGGAGATGTGGATGGGACCTAATGATACCCATATGGCCGGTTTGCCGCCTATGTTTCCTGGGAGTGGACCGCCGGGTTCATTGATGGGTCCAAGGGGTGCTCCTAGTCCTAGAGTAATGGGCATGATGGGAATGCCTAGAGGGATGAGTGGTGTTCCTCCAATGCATAGAGCTGGTAGTTTGGGGCCAAATGCAACAATGGATAGCCCCAATTCGATGTCGCATAAGCCTAGGAGTGAAGAGGAGGAAATGAAGGATCTTGAGGCATTGTTGAATAAGAAGACTTTTAAGGAGTTACAAAAATCAAAAACTGGTGAGGAGCTTTTGGACCTGATTCACCGGCCAACTGCTAAGGAGACTGCTGTGGCTGCCAAGGTTTGTCAAATGTCAATACTTTTACTATGTAAAAAATATTTCCTGTCTGCCATTTAAGCTATAAATAGGCGTAAAATCACAAATGGTCATGTGTTTTGCCCTATATGTCGAAGGTTTATAGATAAGTTCTTCGGCTTTAATTTTGTTAATAATACCCTTGTGGTCTACTCCGTTACCAATTTTTAGTAAATCTCTACTTTCCATGAATGTGTGTTATTAACAAAATTGGAGATTTGAGTAAACTTGGTAACCAGCGTAGACCACATGACTTACCTTCCACTCAACTTGTCTCCAAAGAGACTTGCAACATATACTGTAAACCACATGGATCCTTTGTGAGTAGTGAAATGGGTGGAAAATGACCATAATGCTCCTGCACCTGATGTGCACGTGGATGACCGGTTTCAAAAATTGACGTAATTAGGAGATGTAACTAAAATTGGTAACAGATGTAGACCACAAGAGTTAGTATTAACAATACTAAACAACATGACTTGTCATATCGGGTATGTGTGACAATAATGCCACAACCACATGGTCTTACTAATCAAGCCCCAAAATTATAACACTTGGTGGCAACAGGTTTATTACTAAATATACACGTGCTAAAACACGGGTGGATTGGTAACACTGTGTAACACCCAAAAATTACTTGGAACCGCAAGGACCATTTATGCTTTTAGACTTTATAAGTATTGATGTGATATTTTCAAATTTTGTGTTATCTTCTCTGCTTATTGATCAAGAGCACCAAAGCAATGATTTTGGGTTCTGCAATCAATGAGTAGGAGGCTTGTGGTGAACATATTATTTTGCTTGCAGTTTGTTCTTTATGTTATAACTGGGACTCAATTATTCGATGGACTCATTGCTTGGGCATAAGTCTGAAGTCAATTGATGTCTTTTTTTGTTTCAGTTCAAGACTAAAGGTGGTTCACAATTGAAGGAATACTGCACATCCCTAACAAAAGAGGACTGCCGGCGCCAGTCTAATTCCTTACTTGCATGTGAGAAGGTCGGTAAGAAATATGGTCTATTGACTGTTCTTACAAGTGCAAAACATGCCTTTGATCATGACTTCTTAAGTCTTGAAATTAATAGTGATCAGAATGCTGCCTCTTGCTTATTATTTTGTTCGATGTTGTACAATTTCAATTCATAGCATGCGTCTAGTTTAAGTTTTATGTTTTGCACTGGGGTCTTTTAACTACCTAATAATGTGCTGAAACGATCTTGCTAGAAAGTGTAACCAAAATGATTGAGCTCTGATTTAATGTTGGCTTGTAGCATCCAACTTTAGAGGATTGCATCATTGGATTTAGTTTTGCCTGTTTCTGAAATTGAAATTTATGTGCACACTGGCTATTTCAGTTCTATTAACCATAATTTTTGTGAACTTATTCAAAGTTATTTTGAGATGTTCTACATTTCCTTTTGCTGATTGTATTTCTAGTTTTTATTCTAAAATCACTGCAAATAACTTTAATCTTAGTACTTAGATCTATTGTGCTTTTTTCACATTGCATTTTATTTTCTCCTTTCAGGTTCATTTTAGGCGAATAATTGCTCCACATACCGATGTCAATTTAGGTGACTGCTCTTTTCTGGATACTTGTCGTCACATGAAGGTAAAGTTTACCTTCTTTACTTGAGTGATGAATTAATTATATGTTAGTGACTATTTTTCATAAAGTAACACGTTGTTGTCTCCATTGTTAGACATGCAAGTATGTACACTATGAGCTTGATCCAACACCAGATGTGTCACACATGATGATGGGGGCTCCAGCTCTCAATCCCCATAAATCATTGAAGCCTCAGCGTGCTGAATATTGTTCTGAGGTTGAACTTGGTCAACCACAATGGATTAACTGTGATATCCGCAACTTTAGAATGGACATTCTAGGGCAATTTGGAGTAATAATGGCAGATCCACCGTGGGACATTCATATGGAATTGCCCTATGGGACAATGGCTGATGATGAAATGCGCAATCTTAATGTTCCCGCATTGCAGACAGATGGTCTGATTTTCCTTTGGGTCACTGGGCGTGCAATGGAGCTTGGGCGTGAATGGTATGTGTATACTTTGACCATCTGTCAACTGCTGCATCAAATGTATAAGTTATAACCATAGATGCTTAAATTGGATCTGCTTATTCTTTGGCTTTCACTCACAGAAATATCACTATTCTTCTTGCAGTTTGGAACTTTGGGGATACAAGCGTATCGAGGAGCTAATTTGGGTAAAGACTAATCAACTTCAACGAATAATTAGAACAGGGCGGACTGGCCACTGGCTTAATCATAGTAAGGAGCATTGCCTTGTTGGAATAAAAGGGGAACCATTGGTAAATAGAAATATTGATACTGATGTCATTGTTGCCGAGGTTAGAGAGACAAGCCGTAAGCCAGATGAGGTTAGTGGAATATGCTTCTTATAATTGTGCAGTGAAATATCTATGCAAAATATAGTTCTTCTTAATGAGCTTATGGGATGAACTATATTATAATTGTACTTTTCCCTTCCAATTTAAGAGGTGGTGATCTAGAAGTTATTGGCTTCTACCACACAATGTTATAATAATTATTGTCTCTATTGTATTTTTCATCTGTTTAGTTTTGTTAAAATTTGGCTAAATATACATTCCTGCAGATGTACCCTTTGCTGGAGAGGATAAGTCCAAGGACTAGAAAGCTGGAACTGTTTGCTCGCATGCACAATACTCATGCAGGGTATGCTTTCTTGACTAATGGCTGTAATTGTTAAATGAAATTCCTTCGTTATTGTTGATCAACAATATCAACAATGTTGTATGTTGTGATTTTTGGCATAAATTGATAACGAAACCAATGACAATCTGAATCTAGCATGGTCTTGGGTTTTCCATAGGTTAAAATTTCTTTGATAGTGCAAGTAAGCAAAGTTCAGTATCATGCAAATGTGGGTAGTAACCCTTTCCCGTATTTATAAGGCCTGTACCATTGTTTTTTTCCTTTTTTTCCTTTTTCATTCGGCTTCTATTGTTTTTGGGGGTTTTCTTAGAACCAAAGGTAAGTGTGAAGGGTTAAATCGGAAGTGCAACTCTTTAAGTACGAAAAGTTGAGTATCATGCTAATTAGGGTAGATCGCCATTTTAACCCTTTCCCGTCCTAAAAAGCCTTTACCATCGTTTATTCTCCATACAAAAAAAGGCCTTTACCATAGTCTATTATCTCTTGTTGTCTTTGGGTGTGGGGCCTTTACTTGAAAATCAAGCTTTTATGTTTTATTCTGAACTGTTTTGTATCAGGTGGATGTCACTCGGTAATCAACTGAGTGGTGTAAGATTGGTTGATGAAGGCCTGCGAGCACGATTTAAGGCTGCTTATCCGGATGTGGAGGTGCAGCCTGCTTCCCCACCCAGGCCCTCTGCTATGGAAGTAGACTCTAATGCTGCCCAAATGCGAAATCCATTTTCAGTAACAGAACCAAAGTCTACGGCCGCACAATTTGCAGAGCCTGCAGTTCCAGATGCACCCTTTGCTGCTTCCGAAGTGAAGCCAACACCAGTTGACATTGACATGGTCGGTTGAGTAACTATTAGATCCATCACAAGTACTCGTCCAAAACAGCGTCCCCTGTCTCGTCCATCCGTACTGAGATGTTGAGATGAAATCCTGCCCAGCCCTCATCAATTTTGTCAAATGTTTTATAACTCTTGTCACATGTGTTCCAACTCTGTCAAATGTGTCTACCTCCATGTACTTTTAAGATGAGAAAAATCCTCAAGTGCTGTTATGAGGCCTTGATAGGCTGTGTACCATATATAGTAGAGCATGCAATATTTTACAGTTACTGTGGTTATGAACTTGCTGCTGTTGATCCTTGTGGTGGCAGTGTTACATTCTCTTATTATACAAGCATTTTCTTTCAGACTTTTGGTTCATCTCTTCTTTCTTTTTCTTTTTTCAAATCTTATTATGATGCTACATTTAATTGGTGACCCACATGGATGAGACACTGTCGTGGGCAACCTCTACATCCAGCTGGATACTTAATAATTGTATAATCTATACAACCACAACTTCTCACCGCCACAATCACCGGACAGTGTTCTGTCAGGCTGTCCATGTACTTTGACATGGAAACCCATGTTATCTTATCTTTCTCTTCTCTTGATAGCCAAAAAAAGGAATTTTAAAATAAAAGTAACTTTGTAACTTTCTCTTTTAGGTTAAAATGATCCTTTGACTGCCCTCCGAAATTCAAGGGATTCACCAAAAGAAAGAAAGAAAAGCAATGCTAAATCGCATATGAACATGATATGCTTCATTATTCTATTGGATTTCCAAAAAGAATTACAATACCAAAAATTCCATTTATCAACCAATATGCCAATGTTTATAGAACCATTCATGAGAAGAAGAAGAAGAAAAAAGAATCCAATAACAGCCATGTTGAAGCTGTTCACAGATTGCCACTGAGCAGTGAACATACCACAAATCCAATCACAGCCACCATGAGAACTGGGAAACTTTGTGACGGCGCAGAAGAAGGGGGTGCTGGGATTGTGCCAAAAACTGTGGGGTAAGAAGGTGCAGAATCAGGCAATGCACTAGGGCCATAGGAGGGAGAGTAGGCAGAGCCATTGCCAAAAGAAATATGGAGCTTCTGGTTATTCTGGCAATGACCCGGTTCACCGCTAGTGAAGTAAAAGTCCCCCAATGAAGTAAAATTGAACAGAGAGTTGCCATTGTTCATGTACAAGATTGGATCTTTGAGGTTGCAGCTGGTGTAGGCTTGTGCTGTGACTTGAACCACTGAATCTTGGCTTGGTGGGTACAAAAACACTGCATTACACAGGAAAAAAGAAACCAATTTTTTTCTTCAGTGGTTTTGAAATGAGAAAAAAGAAAGAACAACATTGAAAGAAAGAAACAGAAAACTCTTACAGAGAGAATCTCCCATCTTGAATTCAAGGGTTTTTGACCATTTGGTGTAGACCTGTGGATTTGTCGAAGTGGGTATGCCCCAAGCATCTAGATCTCCAACTTTGTACTGGTAGCAAAGCACTTTGGATTGTATTAGCATAAGGACTTGCAAAACCAGTAAGAGCTGAAATCTTGGACTTCTAAGATTGGCCATCTTCAACTCCTCTCTCTCACTTCAAACTTTCTCTTTCTCAAATGTAGGAGTGAGTTAAGAGAATCGGTGGATGGGCAAATCTTATTGGCTCGAGGGTGTCTGCACTGCATACGGACAACCTGAAGACAAAATTACCAAATGCCCCCTCGTTTTGAGCGTGATTGGTACATCTTTTTAGATGGTCAAAGACTCAATATCAAACCAGCTGTGTCAAAACTGGTTAAACATCAAAAGAATAATATAAGGATGGTGGAGGTCTCTGTGGGGAGACTTGGTTTGTTCCTGCCAAGTGGTAAACAATACATAGATAGGTACAACTTACAAGTAACTACAGAGATGGGCTTTGCTGGAAGGGTTGATTTGGAAAACCAATCACATGGCCAATAATTTCACATGCGCAAGTTGCATGTTCATGATTCGTGCATGAATTTAACTTAAAATGGGTAAGTTGAACAACTATGTTAGCATAAGTCGTTTCCGTGCTAGTATAGTTCTTGAAAATCCATTAAAGGATGAGCCACTAATGTTATAAGTGCTCATAAGTTGAAAGGTAGAAAAAGGAGAGTGGGGTTGGAGAAATTTTTTTGGAATATGATTAGGAAGATGAATTGAGTTAGTTATTGGATCATCATGTGGAGAAACATGAAAGAACATGAAAGCCTGTCTCCTTTTCACATGGTTTGTCGTCCGGAATTCAGTCAGAGGACAGTCATGGGTAACAGCTACTTGGGGGTTGTCTAAGGTCATCTAAAGCCGTGAGCATGAGTTTTCCCCCTTCCCCTACCCCTACCCACTTTTGGCAAAAACTTGTATCTCGTCTCCAATTAGGAAAACGTTAAACATTCTCTTTATGCCTTTGTGCACTTCAGATTTACAAAAAATTCAAGACTACCAATTTCAAATTAGAAATGTAAACCAAATTGATATTACACTTCCAAGGTGCTGCCTCTAAGTACGTCCAATAGAAACAAAACAAAAATGAGAAGTTGAAGGGCAAAAAGAACGAGAACAAAATGGCCAAGAGGAAAGAAGAAAAAAAAACCATTTATAAGTGACTGAAGCATCCTTACATTTTCTAACATCAACCATATGACAACCATATGACAAAATATAGCTGATGCAAGCATGAGTCTACAGTGATTGGAAAATACATGAACTACATATAGCAACTAGACTCGTTAGTTAGTCATTTCTTTGTGTTATAGCCACCAGCTGATTGCCCCTGAAACTCCTTCATGCCTTGTTTTGAAGTTGGCGTCAATCAGTGACAGCAAACAGAAAACCAAGATGCAGCTCGAACGTTCACATTAGAATAGGTGGTTTGTTTCAAACATCAAAAAATTTCCAGGTGTCTTTTCTTTTATTGTTATATTCATCATCAATTAGTCATTTAATGGCTCTGCTTCTGTGTCCCTCTCATGTGTTGTCCATTCTTCTGGTTCTACGATGAAACATAACATATTCATTATTAATCATCACCACAGGAAACCAACAAGAAAAAAGGGTGGAATGCAACTGTGATAGTATAACATACAGTCGAAATATATCAATTAATTAGAAAGAAGCAAGGACTACAGCAGAACTTACTTGATTTTGGGCCATCAGCAATCACCATAAGCCGCCTCTGCAATGCAGCAGCCACAGAGAGGAAAATCGAGCACATACCAAACATGATGGTGATGGGAAATGCATCAACCTTCGAAAAGGAAACAAACCAAATCATTATTACAGAAAAATGTACAATCATTGTATTTCTATGAGAAATAAACTATTTGAGGATACCCTCACAGTTTTTGTTTTTTGTCAAAAGCATGTACTGGTAGGCAGAGCCTCAAACGATCATGAGTAAATGAAACCTAATCACTCACATTGTACAGCACAACGCACACAAAGATGTTGAGAGGAATGCGGAAAAAGTTCATGATGGTGCTTCTTGCCTCCTCTGGGATGTATTGGGACCTCATTTTCATGATGGATGGCCAGAATATGCCCACACAGGCCTCAAATATGCAGAAGCCAATGAGCTGAGTATACCCTGATAATGACATGCTCCCACCTTTCACATTGGAAGGTGCAATGAATAACTGTACAAATTCATAGACAAGTTGATAACCATGGTTTAAAAGCAATTCAAATTCATAAATTTGAAGAAGATTGATATATTAAAATTCTTGACATACAGTTGTCACAATGGGAAGCAGAAGCGAAGCCGCAGAGACTACAAATACAATCTGCATATAGCTCTCGACTTTGGGGGATGAAGCTGCCATCAGCCGAGATGCTAAAGAGCTTCCCAACATTGAGGCTAGCATGAATGTTGCAAAAATGAAACCATGTGGAATCTCCTCATCATTTGGGCTCAAAGCTGGAGTCCAGAGGAACACAAAGGTGTACATTGAGCCTTCAAATAGGGACTGTATGGCACCAAGCAAAGCAATCTTCTCATCTGCTCCCCCATGGAAAATAACAGAAGAAGAATTTGTGAGAAATGCAAGAGGATAAGGTTAGAGTCATATGAATGTCAGCCCACCTTTATTTAAAGTCTTATATTATCTAATTGGAGAAGTTTATTTTATGGACTTAACCATTAATGAAAAAAAGATGATGGAAAGAGAATAAGGTTAGGGATTCACCGGAAGCAATGGCTACAGCAGCACCCCTGAACTGGGTGAGCAAGTTCTTGTTTTCTGAAGAGTCTCCATAATTTTCACCCCATGATGCCAATATAATTGCCATGCCAATTGCCAAAAAGCATGCAGCAGCATCAAATGGAGCAACTGGGCCAAATCCCAAAGTATCTACCAGAAGATTCCCAAGTAGCCCAGCTACTATGGCAACTAGACCATTGCCAAGAAAAATAGCCTTAGAGAATGTTAATGAAAGCCACTGCTGCTCAAAGCCCCTCTGCAAAAATTAGGGGACACAAACAGTTAAAGAGCAATGCATATGTGAAGTAATATTGAATTCTAAAATCCCTTGCGTGATAAAACATGAAGAAAGCAATTCAACTGAATGGAATTTAATTTATGACACAATAACTAAAATAACAAAAATATGACCTGAGCCCTTTGGACGCAATAATTGACTGGTTCCAATTTCTACCTTCTACGACGTGCAGAAATATAAACAGTAATATGAGTAGGCTTTCCATACCATCAAAAGAAGGATAAATTGATCCACAGCTTTTGTAAGACTAACTATAAATTAGAACCTGTCAAGAAAATGAATTCCAGAACTGCAATTAATTAGCAGACCAATCACTGCACCTTATTGTGTTCTGCAACAAGCCAAGACTCAAAAGCTGAAAAAAGTAGAGAAGTGGCAATGCCTCCCAATATGCGTCCCAACAGTAAAACCTTGTAGTCAGGAAAATGTTTGGTGAAGCAGCTTAGAATGTAAGTTATGCAGTACGTAATACATGCCCTCTTACGACCCCTGAAATTGGCATATCATTATTGAGAATCAATAATATGATCAAGTTTAAGGAAACACAACAACTAATCAACATGAAACCTTACTGTTTGTCAGCTAGAGATCCCACAACTGTCCCAAACAACATGGATGACCCAAACCCAGCAATAAAAAGCTGTCCAATATCCCCCTTGCTGAACCCATACTGGCTGTAGAGGTAGTACACATACGGACCCTGCAACCAATCCCCGGCTATAGCCACAACCAATTTAATCAGATCCAGAATGATAAAACATTTCAAGGATGATTCATAATGAAAAGCAACAATCTACAATTCCAAGCAGTTTTCAAATAACATAATACTCTTGACCTTAAAGATATATATTACCATCCATAACCAATGCAATCAAGTGTAGCACTACAATCAAAAGACTCAGACGCCATAGCAAAGAGCAGTACATCAATTACAGTACTGATACCATCAACCAACGTAAACAGATAAGGGTGAAGCAACAAGAAATAATTAGAAGGGGTTATAATGACTGGAATATAACTAGATCAATAATCTTGAACAAACAACATGCTTGCTCATTACATAAAATTGCCAATCCAAGAAACTGTATATAGTTGAATCTCTAATTTTAGTCCACTTCGATCTGAATATCCAAATCCAAAAGAAGAGCGACATTGCAGTACATACAGCACAGAATAAAGAAAACCCAGATGAGAAAAGAGAAAGAAATGACAGATCTAAGCTTACCCATCATGAGAGAGTAGATGAGGAGGTAGTTGTTCTTGAAATCATTGAAAACAGAGGAAGTATGAATGCGATCTTTGTTGTTCTTGCTCAGCTCCAAAGCTGCCACAACCGCAGAGAGAGCCCCAAACAGAAGGAAGTAGAAGAACTCCATTGCTCACTCTCAGCCTCTCACACAAATGGGAAAAGCTCGCAGAGAGAGAGAGAGAGAGAGAGAGAGAGAGAGAGGAGCAAAAGCAAAGAGAGTGGTAAGGAGTGCTGTTGTGTAGAATGAAGCTTAAAAAGGACTGGCTACCAACCCTGAAGTGGACATGGAGCGAAGTTTAGGTGGTGAGAATGGGATTTGTGAATTGAGAAAAGGGTCTCAAGATTTCCCGGGGATTTCAATTCCCATGAACTCACGCAGACACACAGACTGGTTTTTGGTCCGATGGGGGTGATGGTTTTGTTGACTGTGTGTTTGTTTATTTTTCTTTTCTTTTCCTTTCTTTTCTATTCTAATTGGGCAAATTGGAAGCCAAGACATGATAAGTGAGGTTTTCCTGACTTCTCCTTTACACTATTTTTTTTCCTCACTCACGCTATAACATGCTCTTCCCAAGATGGGGCCGTTCCCGTTGGATCTGAGCTCGTATCTTTTCTATTCTAATTGGGCAAATTGGAAGCCAAGACATGATTAGTGAGGTTTTCCTGACTTCCCCTTTACACTATTTTTTTTCCTCACTCACGCTATAACATGCTCTTCCCAAGATGGGGCCGTTCCCTTTGGATCTGAGCTCGTAGTAGAGCACGCTAAATTGTTGTTAAATTTATGTCTCATACTGATTAACGACTCACTGTTCATGATGATAACTTCATATTTATACTACATCTTTTAAACATGGAACTTTCGTACACGTTCTAGTCGTGAAAATTTTAATTATCAAATGTAATACATATCTCTCAAAACTCAATCAGAAAACTTGTTGCAATCCTCTTACAAGTATGCAAACCATCTTTTAATCCACAAATTGGCATGGTAAGGTAAGAGTATGATAGTGAGTTAGGCAGGGTGCACATAATTACACTTGAGTAAATTAATATTTCCACTTCAATTGGTAAATTACCTGCCACACCTATATGTTCTAGGGGCTTGGTGCTGCATATAATATAAGCCAGCTATGAAGACAAAAACTTGCAACACACTTTCTTATGCATGACAGCATCGTGTAGTGAGTTAGGCAGGGTGCACATAATTACACTTGAGTAAATGAATATTTCCACTTCAATTGGTAAATTACCTGCCAAACCTATATGTTCTAGGGGCTCGGTGCTGCATATAATATAAGCCAACTATGAAGACAAAAACTTGCAACACACTTTCTTATGCATGACAGCATCGTTGTAACATGTCACATCTCCTCTTTTACTTTGGTCGGGTTTTTTTCCATGTGCCTTGTTGTTTTTTGACCAAAAAAAAACAGTCGGCAAACTTGTCATTCAGAAAAAAAAAAAAAAAAAAAAAATCTATTAATTTTTTTATTAGAAGGAAAATATTCATTATCATTACCATTAATAGCTAAGAAAAATAATATTCATTAACGGCAAACTTGTCATTCAGAAAAAAAAAAAAAAAAAAAAAAACTATTAATTTTTTTATTAGAAGGAAAATATTCATTATCATTACCATTAATAGCTAAGAAAAATAATATTCATTATATAATTCGGCCGGCAATTTGACCTTTTATTATATGAAAACAGTCCCAAGGGCCCAAACACCACAAGAAAAATAAAAAAGCCCACTCAAATTTACAAGTCCAAGTTCTGAAGTTTTCTTCAATATTTTTCCTCGCTAAGAAAATGAAAGAAAAAAAACACAGAGTTTTCATCATTCGCTCCAGTACTTCTCATCAGCATCTTTCTCACGCTCCTGCTCATCATCAGAGCCGTCGATCAAGTTCATCTTAAACCTCTTCACGTCCTCCACTGCAGCGCTCCTAAACAGCCCAACATCAACGGCTCCCGACACCATGTGGTATCCGCGTGTCCAGAGATCGCGAGGCGCGTCGTGGGGCATAGCGAAGCCAGCCAAGTACGCCCCGCCCTCTTTTGGGTCGGACCCCAGCACGGCCATCTCGGCGGTCTCCATCATTTTCCTAACCTTCTTGTTCGCCGGGTCCCACAAGTACCCCACGCTGGCGCTCAGATCCAACGGCCCCATCTGAATGCAGTCAACCCCATCGACGGCCGCGATGTCCTCTGCGTGCTTCACGCCTTCCTCGCTCTCCACCTGGCACATGATCAGCAGCTGATCCTCGTAATTACTCAAATACCCTTCGTCGATACCGTAGCTGGAGGCCCGAACGACGGTGTGGGCCGACCCGCGGATGCCGGCGGGCGGGAAGCGGCAGTAGGAGACGGCCTTCTTGGCGTCCTTGGAAGATTCGATCATGGGGAACATGATGCCTTGTGGGCCCAGATCTAGGGCTTTCTTGGCCCAAGCTGCGGAGGCCTCGGGCAAGCGAAGAATGGCCGGGGTTTGAGCGGCGGCCAAGGCGTGGAGGCAGGGGAGGGCTTGGGAGATGCCGCCATGGCCGTGCTCCATGTCGACGACGACGAAGTCATAGCCCGAGAGGCCGGCGATCTCGGCGAGGGTTGGGGAGAAGGAGAGGAGGAAGAGGCCGTAGAGAGTCTCGCCGTTTTGGAGGCGGGACTTGAGTGTTTGGGGGGAAGTAGAGATGGAGGTGGTGGTCGTGGTGGTGATGGTGTTTGTGGCGGTGGTGGCGTGGGAGGAGGAGGTTGATCTGATGGGTGAGGCGGAGGTGGCAGTGAGGTGTAGGGTTTTGAGTGGGGAGAGAGGGAAGGAGATGAGTTTGGTGGGTTTTCTGAGAGATAATGTGGGTTTGGTGGCTCTGATGGTGGTGGTGGTGGGGTAAGTCAGTGTGGCCATGGCTGCTGGTTGTGAGTTTTGGGGTTTAGGGAAAAAAGTTTTTCTTTTTCACTTCACTGACTGGTAGGAGAGAGAGAGAGAGAGAGAGAGAGAGAGCTCTTTTTCATGACAGATTCACAGTCACGTGTGCAGCTGCATGGTGTACTCTCGGAAGTGTGGCGTTGTGGCTTGTAAGTTGTACTTTACTGAGCAACAACTTCAATGGGGTCCGGAGGGAGATTGAAAACAACCAGAGAGCCCAAAAGAAAATAAAAATGGCAGAGCTTCGAGTTGAAGGAAGCAAGTTGGCTGGTGATCCAGATTTTGCACTTTTAAAACCAAAAGAACCATTTGTTTACATTTCATTTCTTTCAACATTTCGTTTGCAAAATGATTTGGTGTGGATTTCAAGCATCTGAATAATTATAAAAATCATCTACGAGGCCAAATCAATTTATGCTCGACTGAGAAAATTGCATATTCAAAGTCATTGACAGAACAAATGCATATTCCAGTTTGTGGGTTCTGAAATCACTGCATCAATGTTTACTTAACACTTTTGTAGAAACCAAATAGGGAAAATTTCATCGAAGGCGATATCGTAGGAACATAAAACAGGCTAAAGTTTAAGAAATTAGCAAAGATCCAGCTGAAATGCCCAAAATTTACTAATCTGAATTAGTAATAAGTCAATCTTGTCTATCAAAGCTTCAAACTAGCTTTTGCCATGGCCAGAGCGCCCTCATATGTTTGATTTCCTCCAATAAACCCACTCATGTGGACAAAAACACATCCGGGGATTGCAGCCTCCTTCGAGAGCTCCTCATCCCTAAGTCCTCGCCATTGCAATGCTAGAGGCTTTCGGCTCTCAAATCTATCAGGAGCTACCGCCACTGCTTGAACTCGCCAGTGTTTGCTCCTATCATCCTGCACATTGTTTTTATTTTGATAATAAAATTAGCGACTCTTCTCAGATAAATTTGCAGACAAATTAGCTAACACAACTAAAAGTAATGTCAAGGAGGCAAAAACATTACAACAGAAGAAAAGAGACAGAAACAACTGCAGACCATAAACAAAACAAAAAAAAAAACTGAAAATCATTACAATCCACTGCAATCCAAGAAAAGATAACAAGGACATGAGATTGATACAAGTACCTGATAGAGAACATATTTTATGGGAGGGTCAATCTTCATCTCTTCTTCAAGTTCAAATAAATGAAGCTTCCACTGTAGGGCATGAAAATATACAGATGTCTCAACTAAGCCCAGATATGGATAACAAATCGCTTAAAAACATTTGAAGATGCAATGAAGAAGTTCTAAAACTAATAGCATCAGCATCAGTTATAAGAGACAGCTTAAGCCTAAAGTTATTAAATTGGCAAAAACAATACAGCACTGCACACTTACAGGGCAGAATCGAGTCAAAACCATGATTTCTCCACTAGGATCAACACCCCATCTTGCTAAGAGACACTCCATTACAATAGACAGTGCTGGTAACCATGATTTTGCATGAAAACGAACACTCTGAAATTCGGAAAAAAGGGTCATTGAAAAGGGATGTGAAAAAATTAATCCCAATAAAATACAACCTCATTAAAGCATTCCCCTTCTAGTTATGTGCTCAGAGACGTGAAAGAAAATTATTAAACAAAGATGTTTGATGTGAATTTACCAAAATAAATAATAGAGAAAATTCTACATATCTGTTAAGTCTTAATGAAAGAAAGACGCACACTTAAAAACTCACTGCCAGCCAGTTCCATGGCTTGATGAAAGGCTTCATTCTCCTTCTCAGTTGATTGATCAGGATCTATCCAATCCAAATTCAACTTGCCCACCCTTGAAGACAAGTGTGTGTTATTCACATATCTTGGAGGCTGTTCCGTATCGTACTGATTGATCCCATTGTCAACAGCATCAATTGCCTGTTACAAGTAACCAATAATGTTAAAAACACAGTTGGACTAACAAAAATGCATGTCGAATGAATTTGCTGAACATTCAAGAAAGCGAAAAGAGTAACTACAAATAACATTTCAATAAAACTTTGAAGAATAGAAACATCTGCAAAATGTGCATCCATATAAGGGTTTTCGTCTCTTTTATAAAATAAGAGGTTTCTCGTATCTATGAGTCCATTTGAGTTCAAATTCGAATAGAATGAAAAATAAAGATGCAGAACTTGGTAGTACCTCCATAAAGCTTTTGTAAACAGCCAAGAACAACCGATGCACATCTAGGTGGCCTTCATCAACTTGAAGCTCCTTGGCTATTATTTCCTTCCCAAAATGCTACAACCAGATTTAACACAAGTAAAGTTACACACTTGAAAAGCCCATAGTTCAAACCCTGAAAAAAGAGAGAACCTTTTGAAAGTAAATACCTTGTAAACCAGACCAGCACTACTCAGCTTAGTCTTAAACCCATGGCCAAACACCTCCTCGAAGCCCTTCTGGTGATGATCATACCGATCCCTACTAGGATCATATACACCCCCAACATCAAGCACAGCATCCAGACCCTCCAAAACCTAAAACCCACAAACAATAACAACGACAATAAGAAATCACAAAGTCCTGCAAGAGCTTCCAATTTCCAATCAAGTAACTTCATTTTGCATCAATTTTCTAGGGAACCAAACAGAAAATGGTGAAGGGTTACAAACCTGGGGGTCACGGGTGCGAACGATTTCGGCGTTGGAGAACTTGTCGGTGAGGCGAATCATGAAGCAGCCGAGGGCTTCGTCGCAGTGGAAGCTGCCATTGTGAGTGCCAACTCGCTTAGCTGAAGTAGCGGTAGCCATGAGAGAGCGGGAGAAGTGAAGGCGCAGGTGATGGTGGTGGCTGGGGAAGACGAATGGTAGCGTGTGCTTAAACCCTCTGACTACTAGCGGAAGCATGCCTTAGCGGGATTTCAACAGTTGGGCGTTATTTTATTTGCACTACTTATTTTTATTTTTGTTTTGTCATTAATTTTGCTCAGCACCATAGTGTACATAATCATTTTGGAATTTGTAATCTTTTTTTTTTTTTCCAGAAACTATATTTCTAGAAAAAAAAAATTCAGTGCAAAATTATATACTTCCTCAGAAATTTAAATACTAAATATCCTTTTGGGAGGGAATTATTGTTTGAGTGTATTCAACTTTTTTTTTAAGTACAAGCGATAAACTAAAGGAGTTTCTCATACACACTATCACGGTGTCATGGATTTTCAAATATGAAATCATTAATCTATAAATTAAAGCCCTTTGTAATTGAGCTGGACCCTTTGACATGGTCACTTTTATTTCGGAAATTTTTGTGTTAAATCCTTCATCCCTCAATATTGTTGGTATAGAAAATGAAAAAAAAAAGCTTAAATTTCATCTCTCAATATCGTTGGTATTGAAAATGAATATGAATATCTAAAAAAAGATAAACAAAGTTCTTAAATTTTAAACGAGGTCATTTGAAAGATAATATAACAATATAGCTTAATTGCTTGAAAGAAATAAAGGGAAAAAACAGTTCAGGGTGAGATAAGATATTTTTTGGGTGTAGAACTTGCAAATGGAAATTGGGGTGGGTATCTTCCTCAAACAAAACATGAAATAGGATAACAAAATCCTCCAAAAATCAGTGATCACCATGCCCTTAACCATCAATCTCACTTGGGTTTCCTCCACAATCCCCATCTCTCTCCTCCCAAGAGAACTCATCACAGCATCAAAAACCTGCTCTACAATCTTTCATAGAGCTTCTTCTTCACCTTCAACATCTCGTCCCCTCATAATCAAATGCACGAGAAGCACCTCTGGAGAGAGCGGTAGCTTGAAGGACGCACTGAGTGGCATTGTGGGAGAGCAAGTAGAGGAGCTCTTGAAAAAAGAAGAGAACAGGGATTTGCTTGACGGGTTGGAAAAGGCGTCTCAAAGGGTAGAGATGGCTAAGAGAGAGCTGGCTGAGATTGAGAAACAAGAACTTGAGGCTAAGCTTGTGAGAGATTATATTAACCAACTTGAAAGCAGGGCTTCTGAGGTTCTCATTCTTCCCAATTCCCATTTTTTATATGCTTTTCTGGGTTTGTTTCTGAGTTGGGTTTTGGTTTTAGATGCCTTCTTCTACTTCCTTGAAGTGAAGAACTTAAAATTTTGGGATCTTTATGTACATAAATTAATGTTTCCCTAATTTTGTATATTATTCCTGTGGTTGATGTGTGGAAATTGTCAGTTTTATTTGATGTTTAGATAATTGGTTGTTCTCTAACAAATTAAATCTGCTCTATGAGAAGAATTGTGTTCATTTGATTCCTTCATCTGTTGTTGAGACATTTTCTGTTGCTGCTTACAGTTGGTTCTGTGTGAATTCAATATAGCATGATATTGCTTGCACATGGTTGTTCATGAAACGAGTTAATTTTGTTCAAATATAATGACAAGTTATGTGTTCAGCTTATTTGTTATTTTGTTGTTTGGCATTTTTTTGCTGCCACTGATAATAGACTGTCGCGTGCATTAAAGATTGCAGAATGTCAAAAGGAGATATTAGAAGCAAAAGCCATGGTTGAAGAAGCTGAGCGTGCCCTCTCACAAGATGGGGATCAACTTGGAGATGGATATGGATTTTCGGAGTCTGGAAATGGGGAAATTGACAAGGATAAAGAGAGATGGCAATCCATAAAAGCAGCTTCTATTTCTGCCCTTGTCGGCACTGTTGCTGGATTGCCCTTCTCCTTCACTCAGGTGTCCCGCGGTTCAGAGCTGATACTCCCTCTGGCAGTCACATTTGTTAGCTGTGCACTATTTGGAGTTACCTTTCGATATGCAGTTCGAAGAGACTTGGATGATGTTCATCTTAAGACAGGAGCACCTGCAGCTTTCGGCGTTGTCAAAGGTACTAATTACACCACTATGCAGAACAATTGAAATCCTCAAGCATATCAAACAGTTTTGAAATATGACACTGCATGCATAGTTTTGCCTTGAAATGAAAATGTATTTGCCTTTGCAGGTCTTGCTACACTGGATGGTGGACAACCTCTTGAGCTAAATGCTGGTAGCTTCTTATCACATGCTTTTGATGGTGCACTGTATTTATCTCAGAGTCTTTTTGTTTTTCTTTCTGCTGCGATTGCCCTGGATTATTGTTTTAAGGCAAGGCTCTTGAGTCCTTTTCCTATCAAGAGTCCTGTATCAGGATCGAATTCTAGATGATGTTCTAGTTAAGCAAAGGTGTTCATACTTGGGAGAAATGCAATTACTTTGTATCAGAATTGCAGAATGTTTGCTGAACGCAGTTCTCAATGGTTCTGCTACCCACTTCCAATCACAAAAATACTCATTCAAAAGTGTGCTTTACGTCAAATGTCAATAAAAATTAAAATGTCTATTTCTTGGTAATGTTACTGTGCTTCATTTTCATTCCTCATTTCCTCAAATAAAACAACCCAATTAATAAATAAAAAACCATGGCCCTTAGCCAACCAGAGTCGAAAATGAAAAAGCCATCCAGAATGTGCGACATGCTAAAAGGACCTATACATAACAAATTCATTTCGATGGTCTGCAAACCGATTCTACATTCTACATTCTTTATGTGAAAGCATCGTATGATTTATAACAGTGTGCTGCCGGTAATATCGGACAATTGTGGTATCCCTCTTGACTCTCCCTTATGCGCTGAGCTTGCAGTCGTGGTCAACATTCACTACATTTTTGTCTGGGCACAAAAGCCACGTTCTGCAATTCAAATTGCTTGCCTGCAACTCTGAACACGGTCTGACCTTCTAGTGTTTGCTTCTTTCATCATCATCCCAATCTTCATTCGAGCGTTCATGATCTTGTAAAGGCTTCTTGGGAACTCCCCACCTCCCAATCTCTTCGCTGGATGGCAGGTTCTTATTTTCTCTTTTCCTCCCCTTCAGATTATATTAAAGTGATTAAAGCCGTTGTCAGATAAGAACAAAAACTATCCAGCATATCTAAAAACTTACAAGGACCCTAAGTAGTTAATACCTCCTCAGAGGTCCCTTCATGCCCAGTCAGATCTTTCTTTCTACTCGTGAATGAAGTATGCTTTGCAGCCTCGCTAAACAATTGAAAGCCCTGAAGATCTCCATTTTTAATACTGGCTTCCAACTGCAAGGGAGAAAATATGGAATCACAAGAATAAGGTTACATGATATACAAAGTTTGCAAACAATTGAATGAACTCACAATCAAAACCCCTTGAAACCATAGCTCTAAACCTTGCCCCCAGCAACCCACCAACAAGAAGATATTGCATGCGGGCGTATAGTTTCTCCATGTTAGCAATATATTTCCTTTACAGGTTGAACTGGGTATAAAGAAGTACTGTAAACCATAGCTCTAAACCTTGCCCCCAGCAACCCACCAACAACAAGATATTGCATGCGGGCGTATAGTTTCTCCATGTTAGCAATATATTTCCTTTACAGGTTGAACTGGGTATAAAGAAGTACTGAGAGGACTTATACCTGGACATGAATAATGCATAGAACAATGCTAGCAATAGGCAGCCAGCTCTCCTCAGGAGACAATGACAAATTCGACCTGATAAACCATGGGAAGTCAAGCAATTACATTAGTGCCTAGAACTACATATATAAATCATCAAAACCCATACAAAATCTTCTGCATAGGATTATCACTATTACAAATCATTGAGCTCAATCATTTGTTGGTGATTGGTATTAGACAAACTTTCCTCATTGTCCACAAAATAAAAAACAATAAGCTCTCGAGTAGTTCAATTGCCACAGATTATCACTATTACAAATCATTGAGCTCAATCATTTGTTGGTGATTGGTATTAGACAAACCTTCCTCATTGTCCACAAAATAAAAAACAATAAGCTCTCGAGTAGTTCAATTGCCACATAACATGTAAGCATTCAATTAAGAGTAAGAGAATGAGAATGAAACCTGAGGTAGGGAACCAAGTAGACAAGCGCATACACCGCATAACGCCTTTTCCCGGTATCCAGAAACGCAAAAATCCAACTCTGCCAAAATTATTCATTCCAACTCAACAAAAATTACAACAAACCCAATCAATAAAAAGTTTATAACACGTAAACAAAAACTTCAATAATTCACACCCAAGAAAAAAGAAAAAAGTGTTCTTTACCAGCCAATTGAAGTAGGGAATGAAGCTAACGATGCCCATGACTGCAAACCTGGCATCGGTGGAATCCATGGGCGAGCCGCCGCCATCGTCCTCTGGAGTAGTGACCGGAAGAACCAGAGAAGAGAGCATGCAGGCGCCGATGGCTGCAGCAAACGGTGCGTCGTTTGAGAACTCCGCTCTGCACGTTCTGTATCCGGTGCCGATCTTCTTCCTCGTGTTTGGGGATTTGTTGCTTTTGGAGAGGAAAGAGGGTTTGAGGTTGCAGAGCTGAGAGGGATGAGGCGGTGGTGGTTTCAGACGGTGGAGAGTAGAAGAGAAGTGGATTGAAACCATGGCTTTGGCTTGGGTTCTTCAGGAGGTTACCGCACCATTTGCACAGCTCAGCTGAGGAACCAGAGAAGAGAGCATGCAGGCGCCGATGGCTGCAGCAAACGGTGCGTCGTTTGAGAACTCCGCTCTGCACGTTCCGTATCTGGTGCCGATCCTCTTCCTCGTGTTTGGGGATTTGTTGCTTTTGGAGAGGAAAGAGGGTTTGAGGTTGCAGAGCTGAGAGGTATGAGGCGGTGGTGGTTTCAGACGGTGGAGAGTAGAAGAGAAGTGGATTGAAACCATGGCTTTGGCTTGGGTTCTTCAGGAGGTTACAGCACCATTTGCACAGCTCAGCTGACTTCGATCACCTTGAGTCTCGCGCGTTTTGGGAAAGAGAAACTAATCGACGGCGGTTTTTCAAAAGGAAAAAGAAAAGAAAAGAGAGAAAATATCGTTTACTAATTCCTCTCAAACGACACGCCGTTTGCGTGGACTTCGCCTGCTATAGCTTTCCGTTAATTATTTGTTAATTTGAAAAGGGTATAGTTTTTCTGCAATGTTTTGTTAATTTGATAAGAGTATAATTTTCCCCCAATTTTTTGTTAATTTGCAATACTCGTGTCGACATAAGTTTAACAAGAGAACATTATATTTCAAGATTAACACCAACTTCCTACATTAACTTTCTTCTTTTCTCATAAATTCTTACACAAAGATAATACGGGAGTTGCAGATTTGGGATGCATTCAAAATCCCATATGTCAAAAGAAAGCAAAAACTGAATAGTTTGTGGAAGCGTACATATGAATAGGAATAGCACAATTAGTATAAATGAAATAATAAACAGCATTACGTTCTACCGCCATCATATACAAGCTCATAAATCCATTTTGACAAAAATAATGATGCCACAATGTCTGTTTTAACCTTATAAATATAAAATACACCCCTATTATATATGTATATAACTGTAGAACCAATTTGACCACCAGTCCAGGAGTTAGATCGCTACAGAGAAGCACCTATTTTCCATTTTTGAACAGGACAAATCACATCCGGATGAATCCATAAGCTCGATTATTACTTGTCTGAATTCTGAAGTGGCCGAAATCCGTGAGGGAACTTATTAGGTACACTGGGAGAAGAGATTCAGGAACATCAAATTGTTACCTTCTCCATGCATCTACTTTTACCGGCAGCCAATGAACAATTCCCGTTCAGCATAGAGAAAAAAAATTTGTTGGATAGAACACATTCGACACGATCTACCGCTCATTGGCCGGATGTACATGGATTCACTTTACACTAATCACAACTTCAGGTTTTCAGGCACCCCTTATCTTCCGTCCCCATTTTCTTCCTGCCCAGATACAGCATTCAGCTGTTGCTGCAACTGTCACCAGATAACCAACTCATTAATGAAAAACTATATGCAATCAAATAACCAGCAATAATGGCATGCATGGGAACCCATCACTACCAACTGGTCCAACTCAAACTAACTTGAACTATCCCATTTTCTCAAACCCTCATACTCATACTAGACTCGACTACAACATTATGCATTCTCTCTTCCTTCAACCATATAATGCACGAAAACTGTAATTATGAACCCTTGAGCAACTCACTTGAATGTGTCTCGTCTTTTCAGCAGTCAGTTCATCACTCAAGTTGTTCATCCTAGAGAGAGAGAGAGAGAGAGAGAGAGAGCATTAGACAAACTTATATGAAACCAGGAAAAAAAACACATAAAAGGACTTCAAAGGCATTCAGTTTAAACTTAAGATGACTAACCTAGCTTGAAGCTCAGAGACCTTGAGGAGCAATAAACGCTCCCTCTCAGAAACTGCAGCTTCGACCTGTTGCTTAAACAGAGTAGAAACGTGATGAGTCTACAAAGCTAATGACTTATCATGATATCAGTCCAATAGAGTTTTGTCATGAACAAAAAGATAACATAAAGAAATCTGCTTTTCCACAGTATGTATCTCATAAATTGATTTAGTAAACAAGTCCAGTTCAAAATGAACTAAGCTAACAGTTATTTTTTCCTCAATCAGTCAAAGTTGATGGAATTCTGTCAAATAAACAGTCAAGTAATACCATTTGGAAAAAATAATAATAAGAAGAAGCTCCTAAGAACGAAATTATTATCATTCCCATGATAGTAGTCATATCCACGTCAGAACAATCACGGTGATAAAATAAAATATACTTACACTTCCATTGGTCTCAGAACTGCGGGGCAGTGGAGGCAACTTTCCATTTTGAGTACCTGAAACAAAAATGGAGTACCTTACTAACTGGTTCAATGCCTCCTTACTGATGGGCAATTAATTTCAAGTATCAAACTCATAGATATTTCACTAACCTTCTACTGCCTCAGCTGGTTGCAAGGTGCTCAGTAAATTCATAATTATATCCTGCAATCAAAAGAATAAACAAGGACACTCCTTAGCTCCAGAAATAAAATTCTTCAAGTCAAATATCCACTATCTATGTTGTACCAAATTTGTTCTTTACCTGTTGAATCGAGGTCTGCTGAAAAAGATTCTGAAGGTGAGGCAAGAGAAGTGATGCAGGTATGTTGCTGTTGTTCAACTCCTTGGCAGATGGAGTGGTAGGCTGAAACATAGAAAATGAAATCATAAATGGACAAATACATTTCAAGCTACCACAGTTTGAAGTTAGTGACTGGACCTTCTATGTTGTCATAATAGATATTGAATATGGGGAAAAAAACTATTGGCACTATGCCACTATCTAATGTTGTTCATCGAATAAACAGCCTTCTATGTTGTCATAATAGATATTGAATATGGGGAAAAAACTATTGGCACTATGCCACTATCTAATGTTGTTCATCGAATAAACACAGAGACATGGATATATGAATATGTGCACACACTCATACAATTTAGATCTCCCGGTTATCGGTGAGCATTAAGACCATGCTCACCAGCGTTGGATCAAAATCTATGGCTGTTATCCAAATCTCATAAATTAATTTATTATTGAATAAATTTCAGCCATTGGATTTGAAACACACACACACACACATGTATCATGTATGGATGTATGGATGTATCATGTATGGAAGGAGTGAGATTACAACACAAACCATTTGCCTGGATTCAAATACCCAATCACCAACGCTTGCTGACTTTTTTAGAGGTGATCCCTAAATAATAACAAAAGAGAACGTGAATTAGAACTGAACAAATTACTTGAGAAAGGGTTAGGAAAATACTGGCTACCTACCTGTGAAGATCGACGAGGTATTGTACTTGATGGAATATCCTATGGCAATTTTTTTAAGTTAGTGATTGTAAAAAATAGAATAAGCATACCATAAGAACAAAGCCTTACCTTTACAAGATCTAAATTTTCTGACGTCACTGAAAACCTCCCCTTAATTTGCACCAAATTAGCCTTTGACTTGTCATCCAAAGAATCTCTGAAACCTATTAAAGGTGAAACACTTAGCGCTACAAGAATTCTGGGCCCAATGTACTCATAACAGTAGAAAGAGTTGCATTTTTAATTATCATCTCTAAAAAATTATGGACATCTTCATTACCTCCAGAAGATTTTATAGGAGCTGATAAACTGTTTGCCGAAGCTCGATTTGGAAGCATCAGTGGACCACTAAAGCTTGGTGTTCGTCGTACTTCACATTTAGCTTTATCAATTGCCGGTTGATTTTCATTCTCACTCCTAAAGATAACAAAGCATCAGGCTCTTATCCCATGAGAGAGAGACAACACCAATAGCTTCAATTTTGGAGCATTATTTAACCATGACAAACCTTTCAAAGATGCGAGCCCTTTCTGATAATGAATGACTGAGCACAGCACCCGGTGTGAGTGGGCCACTCTGCGTTTGACGACTTTTCACCGATAGATTTTTATTCTTGGCCTGTACCATGTCTTTTTCTGATGTAGATGCTGTTGCCTCAGAGCTTGATCCATTTTTCTTCCAGGCTGTTTTCTGCTGGCCACCAGATTCCAGTATATTACTTTCAAGAACCTTGCCTTTTTTGTTCAAGCTTTCAACCTGTTGTGCCTCATAATCATTTACTTCTTTGTATTCCGTCCAATATGGTTCACTATTTTCGTTCAACTTCCCCAAACTGGATTGGCAACCAGTTGCTTCATGCTAGCATGAAAACAAAAACAAAACAAAACAAACCAAAAACAAATTATTTTTCTGCATAAGAATAATATATTTAAAAGAAAAGACCAGCAATGTGCACTATCACCAAAAAAGAAACTAAAATCTTAGACTGCACTAAGAATAGCATGACAAATGTCTCATGAATAAAAGAAAATTGATGACCTTATAACTAACGGATTTCAACTTTTCATCTTCTTCCATCATTTCTGGAATATCATCATCATCTCGCACCTAGCAAAAACAAAGGATATTATTTCAGATTCACTCGCCAATATAGAAAAACAAGGAAGCTACTGCCCAGAGATACCACCATGCTGATAATTGCTAAATACTAATATGTGGCATACCAGGGATGCTTGGGCTTTTAAATCCTCAACATCAAAGTTCCAGGCGCTGACTCCTCGCTGGTACTCACTCTGATCAAGGAAAGACAATGACACCACTAAAGATTAGGGCAAAAGAAATAATAAAGCACACATTAGCTGTCAAGTTGGTATAAAAAAAGCTTTGGATATGAACATATTTCGACTCTGTTTAAGTCAATTTTATGTTAAAAAATAACAGCATCATGAGATGTCTCAGACCTGTGATATTGCCTCTTGCTCTGCTGAAGGCATTTTCTTCAAAGCCAGTTGTGCTGCATCTTTAAGCTGCGATATTCCCATATTTTAGCAATTCATAAAATAAGAATACCAACACATGTCAAAGACTGAAAGCAAGGAAGCGATATAAAAATAGAGTGACAGCTAACCTGGAGTGCTTTTACACGATTCCAAAGTGGTGGCAAGTCTGTAAACAATTTCTTTATAGAAAGCTCTGGAGGTTTTGCATTCTTGAAAAAGGAGTGTTTCAATAATTTCTCTGCTGTTGGTCTCTTTGTTTGATCTTTTACCAAGCACATTGCAACCATTTCTTTAAAAGACTGATCACGACTGGAAATCCTCCAATTAGAATATTATTCTGTAAGCGAAATACAATACAGGGCAACAACTACACTTGAAGCCTTGGACTACTTACATGCCTTTTTAATAACGCACAATGTACTAATAACTGATTTGCATGCATCAAACACATATGCGTTAATGTCACTCTATCTAGAAAGAAAACCAATACCTTAGAGAACTTTTTATCACGATCATAATCAAGTCCTGGAGGGGCATTCTGTATGGTCATGAGGAGAACCTGTGAGAACAAACAAAAAGTGTTTGACGTGTCAAAGGTTTCACTAAAGAACCACTATAGAGGTTGCAGTCAAGTTCAATCCTGGTAACATAAGTACCTTCATTGGAGGGTACTTTGAAAATGGTGCATGACCATGGGCCAACTCCAATGCCGTTATACCAAATGACCAAATGTCAGCCCTGTAAAGAGATCAACCAACAGAAAACTAAGAAATAAGCACATAGGACCCTTTTTTCGAATTATACAGTACAGCTCGGAATTTATCATTTCCTCCAAAAGTTAAGTGAAGAAGTTAGCTTTCAAAGCAGATAATACATTAAACAATTGCAAGAAATAGGCTACTGCATAAAATAAAACTCACTTGGAATTGTATCCACTTCCCGGTTGCAATACCTCTGGTGCCATCCTGGAAAGCAAATACCAAGTTTTAATCTCAATACATGGATAATAAAGCAGTTAGCATAACATGTGGCACCAAAACAGGAATTAAGTAATAATTTATGTGACTTAAAAACTCACCAGCATGGCGTTCCTACGAAAGTGTTTCTTGAGCGTTGCCTATCAGCTGCATCAAACAAGCAAGCTGAAACACCAAAGTCGGCAAGTTTAACCACCCCATTAGTATCAAGTAGTATGTTTCCCGCCTGCAGCAAAGACAGTAAAACAATAAAAAAGTAAGAACCTCCAAACAAACTTATGACAATGAAACAGAAAGGAAGGCTACCCATAAATGAAACAAACCTTAACATCTCGGTGAATATGACCTTGTTTATGAAGGTAAACCAGAGCCTTAAGGGTTTCCTTAAGGATAGAACCGATAGCAGACTCCTCAAACCCATCCGGATATGCTATTTTCATGAGGTGCAAACAAGAACCCTCTGCCATGAATGGCATGATCACCCAAAGGTTTCGCTCGACAACAAATGAACAATACGCCTTTACAACATTTGGGTGATCTATCAAGCTCATCGTTTGCGCCTCCCTCCGTATATCTTCCTACGAAAGAATACAAACATAATATATCAAATAATGGGTTATGCATTTTCACCCCAAAAAATAACGGGTTATGAATCAGCTACAATACTGGAAACAGTAGAACATGGGTTTTCTTCAGCAATATTCATTTCAAAGAGAGTACTTCAGTGACTAAGATAATAGCATTTGCAAAAGTTGTGATTTGTGCTCATCAATACAGACCGTTGAGGATCTGAAGCATAAATTAAAACCAAATTAAACCCTACACCAATTAAAAAATGAAAGTCTCCCGATTCCTAACTAATTCCGCATTCACAAATCAAGCATTCAAGTTCACAAATCGAATTCCAATCTCAAACCAAAGCAAAGATCTTAAGCTCATATTAAATCTAGCTTCAATCAGTAACCAAACAGCTAGAAATGATCCCCCAAAGTTCGTTAACAACAATAAAATTGAGATTTGAAACAAGCAGAGCAATAAGAAACTGACGAAATTGCTGCCGCAGCGATCGAGATCCAAACATTTTACAGCGACGACTTCATTGAAAGGGAGATAGATCGCTCTGTACACTGTAGCACTGGCGCCATAGCCAACCTCTTCCAGAAGCTTGTAGTCGCTGGGGTTCGCAGAGTGAGACCTGGAATTGCCTCCCATCCTCCCCATGCTCCTCCTCTTGGAGAAGAAGCGACTAGCGAGGACTTGCGCTTTGGCTATACCTGAACAGAGTTGCGTGCCGTTTCGAGGCTATGGGCTATGCGTTTCGATGATATTATCTGAACTCGTTGACCGCCATGAGAAAAGGAAAAGGCGAGAGAGAGTTAAGAAAGGGAAGAGAACTCGGAGCAGAACTTGGCTTGTGAATTCACTGAAATGTGAGGTGCTGACGTGTCGGAGGCTGTAAAGGGTGATGGGGATGTTGACACGTGGATGGGTCATTATAAGGGACGGCTGGGACCCGCGCTGGTGTCTTTTGCACCTGTGGTGAATTTGTATTGTTTTTGTAATTTTTTGAGGTGGCTGTGACTGAGCTGAGCTGTCAATAGTTTTGTTGCTAATTATTATTAATTTTCAGACAAACCCCTATTTTTGGAAATTATGATTTTGAATTTCTTGTTTTGTCCAAAATGTATTATTATTTTATTTATCTTTTTTAACGAAAAATTACGGGAATGACATGCTGCCTTCCATTGATTAGAAGATTTAATTCGATTGATTGATTGTCATTAGATCATCAAATTAGAGGAATTTTTTTTTCTTTTCAAACACAATTTTCCAACAAAAAATATGAAGTTTATTTCATGCTTAACTATTGCATTTCAGTGGGAAAAACTCCTCCAATTTAAAATGTTGTTATGATTATTTACGCTTGTTGATTTTTAGTATTATTTTTTAACTAAACGAATCATACACGCGATACATGTGTAATGCAATGGTAATTTCATGTTGGCCGTTATTATTATTCTCTAGCTAGACAGGCATGATGATAGAACGACAGAGATAACCGAAATGGAGAATGAGATGGAGTACTTGTATAGTTGTACTGTCTCGTAGGCTACGGAATTGTCAAACTCCTCTAACTATTAAGCATGTTCATGTGTTGGTGGTTTGCTCACTTGCTCATTTTCCCTTTGGTCGACCAGGAAGGGCCTTTATTGGTCTTGTCAATTGTAAGGCTGGTGTCCCTCACCATCAGATAATGATACAAAGGGTAGGCTGGTGTCAATGTTTGCCCATCCATTGTTTCATATACACAAAAATAACATATCATCAACTTTAAATGATCTTTAATTGATATGTAAGGAGCTCATTAAATCTTGTATATGTACCAAAGAACATGTTAGATGAACTATGTTTTCTTAATGTGATGTGTATTCATTACAACCAGTTACTATGATCAACAATATTAAGGAAAAAGATATTCGAACATAGGATATTAGGTGTATGAATATCTGCTCTTAATCACTTAAACTACAAACTTCTTATGTAGACGTAACCTAACTCGAACGAATCATATTGTATAACACATTTACGAGTTTAGTTTCATTTCGTTGACCAATCTTTCGTATTATCAATGTTGTCCCCCTAACATTACTCAACCTAAGGTGCCTAGCATGTAGGTACATACCCTAGAGGTAGAGAGGATAGAAAGCATAAAAGTTAGTTTTAGTCATGTCTAAAGATAAGGTCGTCAACTAGGCACTTGCCAAACACAAAGGGATTGAGGAAAGGATATGGTTTTTTTTTGGTGAAACCCAAGGCAAAAAGTTTATATGATTGAAGCCCAAGACAAACAAGGGATATTGGAATCTTCTAACTAACTTCCCACGATAGAGAAATATAAGCTGTGATGTGATTAGATGAGTTGACCCCATTATCTTAAAAACGAAATTAATTAATTAAATTCATTGAAATCATTATGACCTTTACTTCTTTTGGGTCTTTACCATTGAACTCTCAACAACGTGTCAAAATTTCAAGATTTGAAATTACCCAAAAACCCATTGGGCTTAAAATAATCTTCTGCGTCTTAATGTTTTGGCAGAGGCTTTGGAAACAAAGTAGCCCACGCCTAAACACATGACCCAAATACCCACATCGACGGCCCATCTCACTCCTTCCATATCTACCTCCAACTCCTCATCCTCTCCGTCCACGTCACCACCCACCTCCGAATCTCCACCATCCGATCCACATTTACAACAACAGCCGTCCGATTCATAATCCACCTTTCCCTCCTCAGGAATCTCCTCCAGCCGCTTAAACCCGCAGTTCCGGTGCGTTTTTGTTTTTTTAACCACCATGCTCACGCTCTCAATCATCGCCACGTGTCCCTCCACTGCCACGGAGACCTGCGCCTCAGCTATCTCCGTCGCGACGCTCTCGCTCTCCAGCGCGCACTTACACTCCAATTTCCACTCTTGCCCCTCATCTTTCCTGAAAGTTCCCTTCAGCACCTTCTCTTCCCTCAGATAAACCTCGAACCGGATCCCATCGCCGGCCTCGACCCGCTCTCGGGACCCGAATATCACTTCCCCGTCCTTCACCTTGGCATTCACGACCCAGAGGGCGGACGCCCGCCGTATCGGGCCGGATCTTTGGCCCGTCGATCTCTAGCTCGTTCTCGTTAATCCGAGGAAGAAACGAAAGAGTGAGGGATTCGGGTATCGGTGCCCGGGTATTCAGACCCGAAAACCGCAGAAAGAAAGCCCGAATCTTCAACCGGTCTCTCCTCGGTTGAAATCCGTGGTAGTCAGTCGATCTACACATCTCGTTCTCTGGAGTATTTGACCCAAGTGAGATTTAAGTAAGATTGCATGAAAGGCGTGGGTATTTTATACAGCGGGGGTGATGCGGGTTGGGTTCGGGTTTCCGGGGCAGGCAGCACACGGTTTATGTGATGATGA